ACGTGACTTTACCGAAAGACCCACAGAGTATGAATTCCTGCAGTCACGAAAGCTCTAAATCAAGATGTAAATACCACTGTTCGCCGTAGCCAGTAATCTAACTCAGGTCACCACATTCACAGCACAGTGCAAAATAACCACCGTTGCCACCGCCCTACACAATATGCTCACGAGTTCATCAGTCAACGTACTAACCGCTGCGCCACCAGTGCACCCCGATTCGTCGAGTCTCACACGCCCGACTTTAACACAATGCTGATGCTCACCCGGCACGGAAGTGTCCTCCTGGCCGCGCTTCGCACGGAGGCAATACTCCCATCGTGTGGATGGGTCACGCACGAAGCGGCCGAGCTCCGCGAAGAGTGCGGAGAAGGAGAGGTGGGCGGCGCGGTTTATGGTGTAGTAGAGCAGCGCGGCGCGCCACAGCAAAGGGTCACGGCGGTGCAACACGCTGTGCACGCTTGCCAGCCCTTCCTCCGTGGGGTTCGCCGGGCGCAGCGTAAAGCGGCGCCGCCCGCCCGGGCGTCCCCACGGCTGGCGGGCGCCATTCAGCCCCCGCAGGAAGTGTGTGCCTAGGGCGAGGGTCGCGCGCGCCAATGGAGGGGGGGGTGCAGCGACGGGTGTTGAATGTCGATGCGATGCAGGCAAGCGGTGGCGCATTTTTAACACCTGCTGCGGAACGTTAAAGGTCCTCCAATTGTCTCTCTGCAAGAGGAGGCCAATGTGTGCCGGTTCCATGGTGCCATTTTGCCAAAGTCGAAAAGTTATTTGCAAATTACTAAATTGGGATTAAACATAGCAATCGTCGTCTTCTATAGGCAGACCAATGCTCCAAGTCACTTGCAATTGAGTTTCATCCTGGACTCTTGAGTACTCACCTAGTTAAACAAAATACATTTTCAATTGAGAGGGTTTGAGAATGTTCAACAAATAAGATTTTCTGGAAAGTCTAAAGATAAGATTTAATGAGGGAGTACACCAAAGGGGTTTCATGAGGGATTTAAAGATGGGGTTCAGCAAAAGAGTTAAACTTGGGGGTAAAATATTATGGCTCTCATGAGGTGGATTTAAGGTGGGTTTTACAAGGAGGTTTAATTTGTTTACTGAGGTTTGCCCAGGAGCCCAACCCAGATAACCTTTGATGCAAATTAGCTGCGAAAGGTCAGGAGGTAAGGATAGATGTATGGGAAATGCTGCGCCTCTCGGCTGGGAACGAGCAGGAACGGAGCGTTACTCGGTGGGATGTTCGTCTCAAGGTCACACATGTGCGTGTACAAGGATATAAGTTTATTTGCAGGGTTTTCCTTGTTCTACGTGCTTCCCCTCTTTTCCCCTCCCTTTCCCTTCTCCCTCCCCCTACCTGTTCCGCCCCTCCCCCTCCTCTCTTCTTCTGTTCCTTTTCTTCCCCCAGGATGTTTCATTTCCTTCTACCCTTCCCCCTTTCCCCTCCCCCATATAACTCTTCAAGCCCCGCAAGTGGTCCTCATTTGGGTGGGGCAGTGAGCCAAATTCTTCCCCTTCATAGGGAGGGCGCTATCGCGCCGAACTCAGGTTGCCTATCCCCCTCCCCCCGTTTTGCGAACGACGTATTGTAACAGGCTCGTGTTGCATTACAATAAAAACATATATGTAAAAAAATATTTGCGAAAATGTGGATAATTCGGCATGGCTGCGCTTTCGACATATATAAAGTATTAGTAATTCTCCATGAGCCGAATTGCCGTACCGAATGGTCCAATTTCGGCATACACGTGGAGCGACGACGCGTGCCACGACCAAAATAATGACTCAGTCTAGTGGAGGCGCGCATGTTGAGCGTTAGTGCAGACCTTTTGCTTTGGACTTTACTTTATTTATGCACTCTGTGCAAGCCAACCCTCTCAGAAAAGTTGTCTACACCTACATAAAGAAGTAATAGAAAGGGACTGAAGTGTAAATCACTTAGTCTGCGAAACAAATCCAAAGTTTCAGATAGAATTGATGCAGGTGTGTCAATGCGTATGGTGTGTGAAGAGTTTTGAGAACATTTTTTTGAAAAATATATATTGGAGGGGGCACTGGGGAGTACCATTGTATATAATTCGGAATATTGGATAATTCGGCAAGGCCAGAGTCCCATGTGTCGAATTAACAATGGTTAACTGTAAATCCCTCGGCCGGTAGACCTCGCATGTGCGCTCACCGATCTCGTGCTGCAGCATCCCCTCGAGCCAGTGCTCACGCGCCGCTGCCGTGTTAATGCATAGCGTGGGGCGACCATTCTGCACTGTCATGGAGGCACGCGACAGCAGGTCGTCGTGCAGGCTCACCACCACCTACAGCAGCCAGAACCACACAGTGGGTCAGAGCTTCAATCACACCACCACCTACAGCAGCCAGCACCATCTAATAGGTGACAGCTTCAACCACACCACCACCTACACCACTCAGCACCACACGGTGGGTGATGGGTACAACCACACCACCGCCTACAGCAGCCAGCACCATGCAGTGGGTGAGAGCAACAACTACGCCACCACCTACACCACTCAACACCACGCAGTGGGTGGAAGCTACACCACACCACCACCTACACCACTCAACACCACGTGGTAGGTGAGATGTATACAAATACAAAGATCCCCCATATAGCCTTAACAGACTGTAGGGGCAAGTGCTGTTAGCGAGCACCTATGAAGGCCGGAATGGTACACGAAGGGGTGGGTGGCCAGCACCACGCCCGACCGCCTTTGTCTCCCCAGTGGCGATGTTTACACACCGCACCAGGTACTCATTTGAGGCTGAGTCGACCTAGGGGAGGCCCAGGACCGGTTCAGATAATCGTCACTGGTGATGGCCATGAGCGGGAACCGAACCCGGGTCTCCAGGTTCATAGCGCAGCATGCTAACCGCTACACCACCGCTCTCCACAAGATGTATAACCATACAATCACCTACATCACTCAACACCACGTGGTGGGTGAGTGGTATAACCACACCACCTACACCACTCAGCATCACGTCATGGGCGACAGCTTCAACCACACCACCACCTACATACACCACTCAACATCACGTGATAGGTGTGAGCTTCAATCACAGTCACCACCACCTGCACCACACAGTATCACAGTGAGACGCAAAACCACGCACTCATTACCACCCTCACCCAGCATTATGTCAATACGAGAGGTGAGATTTGTAACCATCTACGCTGCCCAACAGCGCAGGAGAGAGGCATAACCATAATGTCCCATGAATCAGTAGTCAAATAAGGGCTCATTTCCACTTGAAAGCGGGACCTATGAGATTGATGATAAGCTATCTAAGGCTTGTTATTTCTGTTGTAAGGCGGCGTTAGTGAAGACATGGGGAGGTGTTTACCGTCCCCACTGTATTTGCAGTCACTTTCTCCACTGAGACCCAGCCTCTTGTACCTCACTGCTGTTTTCTTGGCTGCTGCACGCAGGAGGGGAAACACGCTTCCAGCCAAAACACGCCGAGGGTTCACGTCGCAAAGCAGCCCCACCTCGCCGAGGCAGCCCTCCTTCTCCATGTAGGTGCGCACGTGAGCCCAGATGCGGCGAGGGGACAGCACGTCGCCCCCCATGTCCTGCTCAAAGTGCTCGTAGCTGCCGTACCGGCTCAGTGTACGCTCCAGGATGCTCACAGCCTGGGCAGGAAAGACAAGGTGAGAAAATGTAGCCATGCCCCTTAACATTGCAATGTTCCTATTAGTAAAATATTACGACCATAAAAAGAGCCCAAGCAAACACTAAACATCTTATAAATAAAAAGTATTCGCGCGCGCGTGCTTGCGGGGGATTTGGCTCACGGACGGTGGGGTTTTGGTACGAAAAAATTGCCAGGTGGCACACCCCAAGCCCCGCGGTGGGAATAGGCTATTCCGTTTTCTCATCCGTCAACTTTAAATTAGTTTAATTAGCGATGTAGTGCCATTTTTATTTTAATTATTTACTTATTGCGCGAGCTCGACCGTACCAACTGACGACAATTGTGTGGGGAGGGCAGACCATGCCAAGTCATGCGCGTTCAGTCCAGCTCACTGCCACACCACGGCACTCTGTCACCTGAGCACTTTGTGCTATAGAGTCACTACATATACTGCTATAGAGTCAGTATGTACTACTGTAGAGTCGATTTATACTTCTATAGATTCAGCATGTACTACTGTAGAATCGATATATACTGCTATACAGTCAGCATGTACCACTGTACAGTCGATACACACTGCTATAGCGTCATCATGTACTACTGTAGAGTCCATAAATACTGCTATAGAGTCTGCATGTGCTACTGTAGAGTCCATAAATGTAGTGGTCGACTTCACACGGACAACATCTTATTTTCTCCAACACCACTTTTATTACAAACTCTCCACATTACGCCTGTGGCTTCATCATTTCTCTGTTCGCCGCAGCTCGCTCGCCGCGCTCCCTTCCCTCTGTCTCTCCGCGTCGTCTCTGTCTCTGTCGCCCATTGTCTCACTCTGTCTCTCCGTCTCACTCTGTCTTCGTCTCACCCTGTCTCTCCGTCTCACTCTGTCTTCGTCTCACTCTGTCTCTCCATCTCACTGTCTTCGTCTCACCCTGTCTCTCCGTCTCACTCTGTCTTCGTCTCACTCTATCTCCGCCCACTCTGTACCTCTCTCTCGCTCTGTCTCTGTCTCACTCTGTCCCTGTCCCACTCCGTATCTCTCTCTCTGTCTCTGTCTCACTCCGTCGCTGTCCCACTCTGTATCTCTCCCTGTCTCTCCTTGTCTCTGTCTTGTCTCTATCTCTCTCCGCCTCTATCTCGTCTCCGTCTCTCTCCCTGTCTCGGTCTTGTCTCTCCTTGTCTCTATCTCTCTCTGTCGCTCCTTGTCTCTGCTTGTATCTGTCTTGTCTCTCCTTGTCTCTATCTCTGTCGCTCCTTGTCTCTGCTCCACTGCTAGCCTGTTCTGTATCTTATGTCTTCTCCCGTCTCTCTCCCGACCTGCTCCGTTCCAGTCCCAGCGACAACTCTCTCCGCTCTCCGCGTCTCCCGAATATATCCCCGTTCCCATCAACTACCAATTCATTAGGCGGCGTGCCCACGACGCCTCATGTCCCTCGCACCTGTCCCTAACATCCCCCATCTCTAGACACTCTGTCGCCACTCTGCTCCTCACAACAACACCCAGCCAATCACAGCCATATATCGCCTACCAACTTAATTGGCCCGTTTCTCTCTCACCGTTCCCCGTTGCCGCACCTGCCCAGCCCGACATGACCCCACCGTCCATAACTCGCGCGTCTTTACCAACCACCCTGTATGCGCGTGTTTAATCCACTACATAAATACTGCTATAGAGTCAGCATTTACTACTGTACAGTCGATATATACTGCTATAGAGTCAGCATGTACTACTGTACAGTCGATATATACTGCTATAGAGTCAGCATGTACTACTGTACAGTCGATATATACTGCTATAGAGTCAACATGTACTACTCTAATCCTAGCAGGTACGACCACTGTTGCTTGCCCTGCTGTAATCATAGCACCACAGTATGCATGCACTGCTGCAGGGAACGCAGGTACCACCACACTATGCACTGCTGTAATAATAGCATGGACCACCAGTCAATATGCACTGCTGTAGTGAAAGCAGGTACCAAAGTCCGTATGCACTGCAGTAGCTAAAGCAGGTACCAGCACTGTATGCACTACTGTAATCATACCAGCTACCACGACAGTATGCATGCACTGCTGCAGGGGAAGCAGGTACCACCACAATATGCACTGCTGTAATCATACCAGCTACCAGCACATTCAGTCTGCACTGCTCTTGTGATACCAGCTACCACCACTGTCAGTATGCACTGCCTTTGTGATAGCAGGTAACACCACAGTCACTAGCCACTGCTGTAGTGATACCACAAACCACCACAGTCGGTTTGCACTGCTGTAGTTCAGGCAGGTATCACCACAGTCTGTGTGCACTGCTGTAGTGAAAGCAGGTACCACCACAGTCGGTATGCACTGCTGTAGTGATAGTGCAAACCGTCGATGTGTGTGTGCGTAAGTCCATGTGTGTGTGCATAAGTTTATGTATGTGCGTGGTGTGCGTGTGTAGAAAACTACTCTTAAATTAAGTTACCTCTCTTCACAATAATAATGCCTGCGTCTAAGTCCATGTGTGTGTGTGGGTCGATGTGCATGTCTGCGGCCATGTGTGTGTGTAAATCCATGTGTCTGTGTGTGTGAGTCAATGTGTGTGTGAGTCTGTGTGTCAGAGTCCATGTGTTTGTGTGTGTCAGTCGATATGTCTGTGTGTTTGTATCAGTCGGTGTGCGTGTGTGTTAGTCGCTGTGTGTGCGTCGCTCCATGTCAGTCAGTGTAAGTACATTTCTTTCTGTGTGTTTTTGCTCCATGCGTGCGTGTGAGTCAATGTGTGTGTCTGTACAGCAAAACAACCCCCTACCTCCTCGCGGTGCCGGACGGGCAACTCTGTCGTGGACAGTGCTGTGGGGGGAGATCCAATTTTGATTGGCTCCTCCCCTCATGGCATATGTGTCCACCACAGGGGCTAAACGGGGGCTCTGGACGGGTGCGAGGGGCTGGTAACCCCTCCACCTTCAATTAATTACCACGAAACTACGAGTTAAACTGAAATATGTAACTAATAAGCTTGTGCCGGAGGCCCTGGGGGGCCAGGCGTCTATGACGTCTCCTGGCCAAACCCCAATTGGCGGAGCCAGGAGATTGAATACCTACCCTCGGGGCTACTCCAGAAACAACGAAAAGCCACTACGGGTGGCCACGTAGAATGTTCGAACGCTCACTGCGGAGGAGAGGCTGCCACTCCTCTGTCGGGAGCTGGACCGGTACCGCCTGGATCTATGCAGCATTCAGGAGGTCCGGTGGACCGGCTCTGGCTCCTGCCACCATGAGGGGTGGACAGTCCTCTACTCGGGGCAGCAGACTGCCAAACAACAGGGTGTGGCTCTTCTTTTGAACAAAAGAATTAAGGGGGCGTGGGAGCGTGGCGGTGAGGTGTGGGAAGCTGTAAGCCCCAGGCTACTTTGGGCTCGCCTTCCCATCAACCGGAGGCGTGGAATGGTGGTCGTGGTTACTTATGCCCCCACCGAAGTTGAACATCCGTGGAGGGATGGAGGCAAAGTCGATGAGTCAGATGCCTTCTATGACCTCCTGTCACAGGTGCTGGCTAAAGTGGCCCCTCGGGATAGAGTCATCATGTTGGGTGACTTCAATGCCCGAGTTGGTCATGATACTGGCACCTGGTCTGGAGTGATTGGAGGGCATGGGCCAGATCAGCTCAATAACAACGGTAGGAGGCTGCTAGATTTTTGTGCAGCCCATGGGCTTGTAATTACCAACACGCTGTTCCGGCATCGGTGCATCCACACAACATCATGGATGCATGCCGGGTCCAGGCAAGACCATCTGCTGGACTACATAGTGACGGACCAGCGGATGCGAGCCCATGTCCTTGACACCAGGACCTACCGTGGAGCTGATCTGCCCTCTGACCATCGACTAGTCATCTGTAAGATGCGCCTGCCATTCTTCCACTCCGGTGGTGGGTGAACACCCAGGACCCCATTCCGACCTAAAGTGGCCTGGTCTCAGTTATTTGATGAAAGTTGCAAGCGAGAATTTCATCATCGCTTGCGGCTGGGATTGGCATCGTCCCCGACTCCTCCTGATGTCGAGGGTAAATGGGCGAGGTTTAGGACTGTGACTCATGTAGCTGCAATGGCTGCTTTAGGTACGCGGTGCAGACCTCCCCAGGGACCCTGGCTGACAGAGGAGGTGTTCAGGATGGTTGAGAAAAAGCGACAGGCCCACTGTCATCAGCTACAGAATCCCACGTCAGAGAATGAGGAGGCTTACCGCAGCCTTCGCTCGGAGGTTCGGAGAGCCGTGAGGCGCTGCAAGGATGGGTGGTGGTCGCGGGTTGCTGAGGAGATGGAGTCTGCCTCAGTGGCCCGTGATCACAAATCTCTATTTAACTCCATCAAAAAAGTAACTTGCAGCGCCACACCTATTACCATCATTAGGGGAAAAAACGGTTATCCAATCTCCGACCCCCAGGAACAGGTTTGCAGATTTGCTGAGCATTTCTGAGGTCCTGGGGGAGGGAAAATCCCTCAGCCAGGAAAACATCGTGGCACAAAGTGATGATGACCCTGCTGAGGCTGCGGTGCCTCAAATATTGGAAGAAGTCACCCCCTGTGAGTGGCTGGCTGAGGTGCCGTTCTGTTGAGGAAGTACTGAAGGCGATCCAGAATCTGAGACCAGGAAAGGCAGCAGGCAGAGATGATCTCCCAAACGAAATGCTGAGGGAGGGTGGCGTTTGTGCACAGACTGCCCTATATGACATCATAACAACAGTCTGGACCACTGGACGGGTTCCGCAGGATTGGAAGGATGCCCTGGTGGTCCCCCTTTTTAAGAAGGGGACCGCACAGACTGTAACAACTACAGGGGCATCTCACTCCTCAGTGTGCTGGGAAAGGTCCTGGCAAGGATTATTCAGCATCGCCTTGCCAGGCACGCTGAGGAGAGGCTTGCAGAGCCCCAATGCGGTTTCAGGAAAAGGCGGTCCTGCACAGATGCCATATTTTCTGTCCGTCTGCTACAGCAGAGGTGTAGGGAATTCCAACAAGACCTACATCTATGCTTTATTGACCTGGTCAAGGCCTATGATACCATCAGTAGGCCTGGGCTCTGGGTCGTTCTTCGTGCTTTTGGAGTACCTGACCCTCTGCTCACGATCATTAAGGACCTTCATGATGGTGAGCGGGCCCGGGTAAAACTACGTGGCCGGGAGTCAGAGCCATTCCCTGTACACCTTGGGGTGCGACAGGGATGTCCTCTGGCTCCCACGTTATTTAACATCTATTTTGACCACGTAGTTCGTGAAGCCTTCAATAGCTGTACCGGGGGAATCTCCATATGGTACAGATATAATGGGAGGCTGATCGATGCCCGGGTGCGGTCAAGGGATGGCTCCCTATTGCTCAACCACGTTATGTATGCTGATGATTTGGTAATAGCTGCTCAGTCAGAGGAGGAGTTGGAGACGCTGCTGCTGAGACTGGAGTGTGCCACTAAGAGGTGGGGCCTTACCATCAGCCCCACCAAAACTAAGCACCTGCCTGGGTATTTTGTACCATCGGACACTCCACCCCCACAACTCCCAATCGGTGATGGGGCAGTTGTGGAGAGAGTGGAGAGTTTCCCATACCTGGGCAGTGTGCTTATGACTGGCTCCAGTTTAACAGCAGAGGTCTCACTCCGAATCAGTCGAGCGGCAATATCTTTTCATCGGTTGCGTAACGCTGTGTGGAAGCTACCTGGTCTGTCGCTCCGCACTAAGCTTCAGGTCTTCTCGGCCACGGTCATTCCCTCCCTTCTCTACGCTTGCGAAACGTGGACCCCCCTAATGGAACATCTTCGCCGGTTAGAAACATTTAGGCTGGCCTGCCTACGATCCATCCTGGGTTTAACCAGACTGGATTGTGTGAGTAGCTCACAAATCCTTGAAAGATCTGGGCAAGGTCCCATCGGTGAGCTCCTCCGGCAGGCAAGGCTGCGATGACTGGGTCATGTAGCCCGCATGCCCAGCCACCGCATGCCGAAACAGCTTTTGTTCGGCCGGATTGAGGGGGCTAAGCAGGCGTGGCACGGGCTAGAGAAGAGATGGAGTGATGTGGTACAGGAGGACGTGGAGCTGAGTGGACTTGCCGATGACTGGTACCAGCGGTGTCAAGATCGGCCTCTGTGGAGGAGGCTCGTGAAGGATGCTACTGGGCAGTTGGAGGTAGTCGCCCTCCAACAACAACGGAGGGCGGAGGAGCGACGCTCAGAACAACGAGCGGAGCGCCGGGTGGCTAAAGCACAGCAGGTTGGCACAGTAGGGGGCACAGGTGGTGCATCAGCCAGTCATCTCAGTCAGTCGACCCGTGGCACCTGGGTCTGCCCCGTGACCTCCTGCCAGCGGGCGTTCGACACCTCACGTGGCCTCAGGGTGCACATAGCCTGGCACAAGCGTCGTGGTGACGTCACCGCCACTTAGTGGCGAATGGCGGTTGTTGTTGTGTCTGTACGTACGTGTGTGTGTGTGCGTACATCCATGTGTGTGTGTCAGTCCATGTGTGTGTGCGTCTACGTGCGTGTGTGAGTCCATGTATGTTTGTGTGGGAGTCTATGTGTCAGTCGATGTTTGTATGCCAATGTGTCTATGTGTGACAGTCCATGTGTGTGTGTGCGTCGATATGTCTGTGTGTGTAAGTTCATATGTCTGTGTGTGTCAGTCTATGTATGTGTGAGTCCATGTGTATCTGTAAGTCGATGTGTGTGTGTGAGTTGATATGTCTGTGTAAGTCCATGTGAGTGTGTGTTAGTCGCTGTGTGTGCGTGGCTCCATGTTAATCAGTGTAAGTCCATTTCTTTGCATGACTGTAGGTCCATATGTGCGTGGTAGTCCATGTGTGTGCTTTATTGACATGCTCAAGGCCTATGATACCATCAGTAGGCCTGGGCTCAGGGTTGCTCTTCGTGCTTTCGGAGTCCCTGACCCTCTGCTCACGATCCTTAAGGACCTTCATGATGGTGAGCGGCCCCACGTCAAACTACGTGGCTTTGAGTCAGAGCCATTCCCTCTACACCTTGGGGTGCGACAGGGATGTCCTCTGCCTCCCACATTATTTTACATCTATTTCGACCGCGTACTTTGTAATGCCTTCAACAGCTGTACCGGAGGAATTTTCATCTGGTACAGATACAATGGGAGGCTGATCGCTGCCCGGGTGCGGTCAAGGGATGGCTCCCTATTGCTCAACCACGTTATGTATGCCGATGATCTGGTAATTAATGCTCACTCAGAAGAGGAGTTAGACGCGCTGCTGCTGAACCTGGAGCTTGCCACTAAGACGTGGGGCCTTACCATCAGCCCCACCAAAACTAAGCACCTGCCTGGGTATTTTGTACCATTGGACAATCCACCCCCACAACTCACAATTGCTGATGGGCCAGTTGTCGAGAGAGTGCAGAGTTTCCCATACCGGCCCAGTGTGCTCATGACCGGCTCCGGTTTAACACCAGAGGTCTCACTCCGAATCAGTCGAGCAGCATTATCTTTTCATCGGCTGCGTAACACTGTGTAGAAGCTACCTGGTCTCTCGCTCCGCACGAAGCTCCACTTCTTCTCGCCCACGGTCATTCCCTCCCTTCTCTACACTTGCGAAACTTGGACCCCCCTAATACAACATCTTCGCTGGTTACAAACATTTAGGCTGGCCTGCCTACGATCGATCCTGGATTTAACTAGGCTGGATTGTGTGATGAGTTCACAAATCCTTGAAAGATCTGGACAAAGTCCGATTGGTGACCTCCTACGCCAGGCAAGGCTGCGTTGGCTGGGACATGTAGCCCGCATGCCCAGCCAGAGCATGCCTAAACCCCTTTTGTTTCACCGGATCGAGGGGGCTAAACGGGCGCGGCACAAGGTAGAGAAGAGATGGAGTGATGTGGTGAAGGACGATGTGCAGCTGAGTGGACTTGTCAATGACTGGTACCAGCGGTGTCAAGATTGGCCTCTGTGGAGGAGCCTCGTGAAGGACGCTACTGGCCAGTTGGAGGCAGTCGCCCTCCAACAACAACGGAGGGCGGAGGAGCGATGCGCAGAACGAGCAGAGCGTTGGGTAGCTAAAGCAAGCAAGTTAGCACGGTACAGGGCACAGGTGGTGCATCAGTCAGTCATCTCAGTTGACCCATGGCACCTGGGTCTGCCCCGTGACCTCCTGCCAGCGGGCGTTCGACACTTCACGTGGCCTCAAGGTGCACATAGCCTGCCACAAGCGTCGTGGTGACTTCAACGCCACTTAGTGGCGAATGGCGGTTGTTGTTGTTGTTGAGTCTATTGTATGTATGTGCGAGTCGATATGTGTAAGTCTATGTGTGTGCGTGTGAGTCGATTTGTGTGTGTAACTACATGTGTGTCCCTAAAGTCCATGTCTGTGTGTGTGAGTCCATATGTGATTGCATGCGTGTAAGTCGATGGGTTTCTATGTGTGTGGATCCATGTCTGCGTGTAAGTCCATGTGTGTGTCTGCCTTTTTCGCCCGGGCACCCCCGGGTACTAACCGCGAGTAACCTTTAAATATAGCATACCCATAACTTTACCCCTCGCAATAATCCTCATCCTATCAATGACCATAAGACCCTAGCAACAACCCTAATCCGAAAACAAAACTTGGCAATAGCCCAAATCCTCATAGACCTTAATCTTAGAACTCTAAAACTGAATCCGAAACTCGTCCTAAAACAAACAGCACCTAACTCTAAAACAGGCCCTTACCTCGACCCTTAACGTAAACCCAAATACGAACACTAACCCTAGCACAAATCCTAACACAAGCGCTTGACCTTAACCATGAAACAAACCCTCAAACAGCTCTGACGGAAGCCCTCTGAGTATGCCAAACACTCTCGTGATGCCGCACAGTGCACCCCAACCTGCAGAAGGAAGCGGCGTGATGGCGCAGCGTCGCTAATGTTGCGAACTAAGTGAACGCAAATGTTGGACCTCTCGTGAACCCCCCCAGGAGCTACCCTTTGCCCCTACCTGCGGCAGGAAGCAGTGCGACGGCGTGGCATAGCGCGCAAGCAGCGCGGGATCAGCGGGGTTCGCATACTCGAAGCGCGGGTTGTATGCGAAGCCGGCGCGCACGAAGCGCCCGCGCTCGCGCTGCACATTGCGCGGTTTGATGGCGGCGAGAAGGCAGGGCGGGCGTGCCGACACACCACGGCAGGGCCCCACATCCAGTCCGCGCCCTGCTCCAGGGGGAACGTGGGGAGAGAGACGCCGAAGATGCGGCACTGGAGGTCATGGTCACAATGTTAACGCTCGTTGGTGCATTGCTTAGTTAACACACCATGCTATGAATCGAGCAACTTCGAGTTGGATTCATATCTGTTGAGTTTGGGAATGACCAACTGAAGAGGCGCAGATCCAATAGTGGAGAAACTGATAAGGGGGTAATATTTGAGAGAAGGGAACTGAGTTGATGGGGAAGATAACCCTGCCTGCAGGAGGGGCTATCCTCTAGTTAACCATAACTATGCAGCGTTAACATTATGGACAAGAACCCATGATATTTTTTGAAAAAATAGTTGGCCATGTATGCTGATGTCATGGTCCTACTTTGCCAAATAACTTGCAAATTACTTAACTGCCTAATACAAAAGAGCAGTCTCGCCCCCACGTGCAGGCTGGAGCTGCCGTTCACTTTGTGCCACACGAGAAACAGCTGCCACAGGTCCCTCTTTACTAGACTACTGCAGAGTACCTCGAGACATCCTGTATGGGAGACGTGGCAGAAATATTAAGTGGTGGTGGTGATGATGATGAGTGGTACGTGATGGGACAGCTCACAGCGCTGGAGGAGATGTGGAAGGTGCCGGAACTCATCCTGGGCTCCGTCTCCCGTGAGGTCGTGCTGCGTGCTGCCCACCGGCCTCTGGGCCAGGTCCAGGCTTCTCCCCGCCACGCGCAGGTCGCCCACCACGGGCCTTTCGCCTGCCACAGGTGACCCAACCACAGGCATACCCTCCATCCGGTCCGGCAGTGACCTGCTCGTCACCTGTAGCCATAAACATAGCAGAACAAAGGCAGGGATAGCGGTTCCCAAATTAGCCTAGCTTGATCGGCTCTGACAAGGTGAGACACCCACCGGCATAGAGGAGCTCTTGGAGATGCTTCATGACAAGCAAGTCCACTTTTCATCTGGAATCCTTAAGAGGGGAGTAGGAGGTGGTGGCGCAGACGGAATAGACCAGCCCGAGCAGAGCCGAGAGGGCAACGGCGTGAGGCCACGGTGGCGGCGTGGCCCATGGCCAGGGGTGCTCATCGGCGGTGATGTCATGGCTGAGACCCTCGGCTTCCTCACTGGCCTCAAGGGGTGGCCGCCATCGGCTTCACGAGCGGAATGATCATCCAGAAACGGAAGGAGCGGCTGGACCACCTCATTATAAAATCAGATTGGGGCTCTGCAAGCCTCTCCTCAGTGTGCCTGGTAAGGAGGTGATGTTGAATAATCCTTGCAAGGACCTTTCCTGGCACACTGAGGAGGAGGTGCCTGGTTAACTGTTACATGATGTGCTTTATCTTGGCTTAAAGCTCTCGTGACTGCAGGAATTCATACTCTTTGGGTCTATTAACGTTGGGAGAGAACCATCTGAGGACCCAATCAAAACCATCACCTTGCCATACATACAGTGAGGGAAAAAAGTATTTGATCCCCTGCTGATTTTGTCCGGTTGCCCACTGACAAAGAAATGATCAGTCTATAATTTTAATGGTAGGTTTATTTGAACAGTGAGAGACAGAATAACAACAAGAAAATCCAGAAAAACGCATGTCAAAAATGTTATAAATTGATTTGCATTTTAATGAGGGAAATAAGTATTTGACCCCCTCTCAATCAGAAAGATTTCTGGCTCCCAGGTGTCTTTTATACAGGTAACGAGCTGAGATTAGGAGCACACTCTTAAAGGGAGTGCTCCTAATCTCAGCTTGTTACCTGTATAAAAGACACGTGTCCACAGAAGCAATCAATCAATCAGATTCCAAACTCTCCACCATGGCCAAGGCCAAAGAGCTCTCCAAGGATGTCAGCGACAAGATTGTAGACCTACACAAGGCTGGAATGGGCTACAAGACCATTGCCAAGCAGCTTGGTGAGAAGGTGACAACAGTTGGTGCGATTATTTGTAAATGGAAGAAACACAAAATAACTGTCAATCTCCCTCGGCCTGGGGCTCCATGCAAGATCTCACCTCGTGGAGTTGCAATGATCATGAGAACGGTGAGGAATCAGCCCAGAACTACACGGGAGGATCTTGTCAATGATCTCAAGGCAGCTGGGACCATAGTCACCAAGAAAACAATTGGTAACACACTACGCCATGAAGGACTGAAATCCTGCAGCGCCCGCAAGGTCCCCCTGCTCAAGAAAGCACATATACATGCCCGTCTGAAGTTTGCCAATTAACATCTGAATGATTCAAAGGACAACTGGGTGAAAGTGTTGTGGTCAGATGAGACCAAAATGTAGCTCTTTGGCATCAACTCAACTCGCCGTGTTTGGAGGAGGAGGAATGCTGCCTATGACCCCAAGAACACCATCCCCACCGTCAAACATAGAGGTGGAAACATTATGCTTTGGGGGTGTTTTTCTGCTAAGGGGACAGGACAACTTCATCGCATCAAAGGGACGATGGACGGGGCCATGTACCGTCAAATCTTGGGTGAGAACCTCCTTCCCTCAGCCAGGGCATTGAAAATGGGTCGTGGATGGGTATTCCAGCATGACAATGACCCAAAACACACGGCCAAGGCAACAAAGGAGTGGAGGGAGCTGAAGGTTTGAGTTGCCAAACGTCAGCCTCGAAACCTTAATGACTTGGAGAAGATCTGCAAAGAAGAGTGGGACAAAATCCCTCCTGAGATGTGTGCAAACCTGGTGGCCAACTACAAGAAACGTCTGACCTCTGTGATTGCCAACAAGGGTTTTGCCACCAAGTACTGAGTCATGTTTTGCTGAGGGGTCAAATACTTATTTCCCTCATTAAAATGCAAATCAATTTATAACATTTTTGACATGCGTTTTTCTGGATTTTTGTTGTTGTTATTCTGTCTCTCAATGCTCAAATAAACCTACCATTAAAATTATAGACTGATCATTTCTTTGTCAGTGGGCAAACGTACAAAATCAGCAGGGGATCAAATACTTTTTTTCCTTCACTGTAGCAGGGGTCACCAAAAATATTTCCAAAATCTTAAACAAACACAAGATCCAGGTCCGATTCAATACAGTACACAAAATCCGTGATCTGATCCCTTCTGTGAAGGATGTGATCCCTGAGATGCAATACCCCGGTGTCTACAAACTAAGTTGTGTCTGCGGCAGTAGTTACATCGGGGAAACTCAGACCGTGTTCGTGAACACAAGGCTGATCTGAAACATGGTAGGACCAATACCTCGGCAGTGGATGATCATTGTTTTAACGCTGTGGGAACACACGAAATTAGTTTTTCCAAGACGAAGGTACTCTGCAAACCTTCTAGCTATCAACAAAGATTCGTTCATGAAGCTATCCAGACATATATAAACACAGACACAATTTCAACCGAGAAGATGGGTACAAACTGAGCAATCATTGGAAGGACGTTATTAACCAGTTTAAGTCATAACTGGCTCTGATGTTTCTATCCTACCTGCCAATGTTAGCAGTTATTTCCGACTCTCTGAGTTGCATTGACAGGCTGCATGTCTTACTAGCACAGTCACCGATGCTCCTATCCCTCGATGTGGCAGTGGCTCTCGTTTTTTCACAATACAATGGCTACCTTCACAGCCTCAGAATGCCCTCCGTTCTCACAATACATTTACATGCTAATCTCTCTCAATACAATGGCCACCCCCACAGCCTCAGGGCGCCCTCTGATCTTACATTGACATGCAAATACCATCTCTAACCCCGCCCACTTACCCTTGGGCTGCACCCATCTCAGGCCTATATAACATCCTGTTTCAGCTGCTATCTTACTGAATTTCTTCACCTGAAGACAATTGCTTGTGTTGCGATCGAAATGTCGTGATTTTTTTTTATTATTTTTCTATCTACGTGACTTTACCGAAAGACCCAAAGAGTATTATGTGCTTTCCCCCTTCTTAAAAAGGGGAACCACCAGGGTATCCTTCCAATCCTGCGGAGCCCCTCCTGTGGTCCAGATAATTGTACTCCTGTCATATTGGGCAGCTTGCACAAATTCACCACCTTCCCTCAGCAGTTCGCTTCGAGGTCATCTCTGCTGGCATTTTTCCTGGTCTCAGGCTCTGGATGGCTCTTTGTACTGCCTCAACAGATGGCACATCAGCCAGTCACTAACAGGAGGTGGCTACTTCCTCCAATATTTGAAGTACTGCAGCCCCAGCAGAGTCAACGCCACCATTTCCCATTATGTTATCCGGGCTGAAGGGTTTCCCTCACAGACATGCTCAGAAAACTTGCAGACTTGTCATTGGGGGTTGGAGTTCTTTCCCTTTGGAACAAGACTGCTACAGGGTGACTGTTGCAGGGTGCTTCTCCAAAGCACAGAATCACCAATATCTCCACGACGTTGATGATGGTGCTCATGATGATGAAGACTATGACAGATTGAAATTAATACTTAACCCTGAAATAAAACAAATTTAAATTGTGACTTTACAATCAAAAGTCGACACTGCTACCCCGGCAGAATTAAACCTCGCTCAGTAACACTCGGCAAAACGCACCAGGATGGCGGAGGTGGCGGCGGAGGTGGCGGCGGAGGTGGCGGCGGTGGTAGCTGTCGAGCGACTCTTTGCCTCCTCACGTGGGGAAGTGAGCGTCTGAACGGACGGCCGCCGCGAGACTTGTGCAGAGCCTGGCCTCGTCTTTCCTGGCCTCGTCTTTCCTGGGGCCGCCACCGAGCTCCCCTTGCTGGGGTGAGGCTGACGCTGTGCGGGGTAGAATCGTGAGAATGGCGGTGGCAGCGGTGGGGACGGTGTCGCGTCCACCGCCGCCACTGCTGTGAAGCTCCTCGCATTGTCGGTGCGCAGTGGGAACCGGTTTTGTGTCACCCCTTTCTGGCTTCGTGACACCTCTCCGTTTTGGGGACTGCTTTTAGTTTGTGCCACTTTACGTGAGGCCTGCTGAGTTTGTGACACGCAGTCATATTTTGATGCCCAGTGGTTGATCTGTAAAATGTGGTCTTTTTGTGAAGACTGAGCTTTTTGCGATGGCTTGCCATTATGTTGTGAAAGCTGGATAATTTTTGCCACCTGGTCTTTTTGTGACAATCGGCTGTTCTGCAACACTTGCTCAGTTCGTGCGATGCAGTCATGTATTAACAGCCGGTGGTTGATTTGTGACATCTGTTCGGGTTGCAGCTGCTGGTATTTTAGTGATGGCTTATTGTGAGTTTGTGGTACCTGGTCTCTTTGCAACATCTGACTATTCTGTGAGGCCCAGTTTATTTGGGAAGACCTACGGTCATATTGTTCTGGTTTGTCATAATTTTGTGGCAGCTGTTGGTTGTACTGAGACAGTCGGCAGCCAGCCTGCACTGCGACCGGAGCGGCCAGAGTGGTCTTCTTGGTGAGCTCTTGTCCCGGCCAGTAGAGTGATTCTATGGCGGCAATACCATAACAACACCAAAAAATATGTAACCAACAAAAGGCAGCTAAGTACAAGGTTTCAGGTCTCAAGAAAAAGCCACATCGATGACAGATTTGCAAACTCACTATTTTTGTAACTGCAGCCATTGAAACAACACAATATTTCAGTGATTTCATGCACAATGTTACTTACTTACATTAAAACACAGCACATGTTATTAAAATATCTGCCTATTTGGCACTACGGTTAAAGGGCTTGACTCACCATCAGTTCAAACCCTGGCCACAGGTCGACATAGCCCATCGTTTTTTCAGGGTCAATAAAATGAGCACCATGTGTTAAGTCAATATTGTTAGCACTATGGATAGCCTGGCCTCTGGCAAAGGACTGTGGAATTTCCACCACTGTCAAGGCATTGCTGGGTGAAGGCCTTACCATGCCGTTGCCGGTCATGGTGGGGGTGTTTGTCCATACTTCACTATGCTGGTGTGTGCGGGTTGGTAGAAGTAGGAGGGGAGGTCCAGGACAAATTCAGATATACCGGTAACTCGCCAATGATGTTAGTCATGGCCGGGAATGGAACTGTGTTCATAGTGCAGTGCAAGTACCACTGCACCACCACTCCGCCCCCAAGGTCAGGGGATAATGAACTTAGTACAAGGCTACTCGTTGACACAGATTGGCTTATTAATCCCTCGATGCCTTGGTGAGCCTTGTGTCGTATATCTTATTCAGCAGATTGACTGGATTGTTCACAACCTGCATCGCAACGGTTTTCTCTTGAAAGCGGCCATGTGATGTCAACCATTTGTAGGCATTATGTGCCAATGTTAACATCACAAACAGAAACTTTATTTACCCAAGAAAGCCTCAGTGAATGCTTTGTGTGGAATCCACGCTCAACAAAAAACACAGAACATGGAGAAAACCCCTGCAACACAAGGTGGTCACACTCAAAATCCAATGCAAACACAGGTTGTCAACAACCAACTTGCTGTACTGTCAACTGAATTGTAAAATACTGTACATGTTACTCAGTGTGTTCAAATTCCAGTCTGTAGACTACTTAGCTCATGATCAGGGTTGATACAAATAGTATTACAGCGATACCCCGCTTTATGTCGGGGATGCGTTCGTGAGGTGCGACGACGAATATCGAAACAACGTCAATCAAAGCGATTTACAGGGTAGGTGGAGGCAAAAGCTGAGAGGCGACGGATAGTGAGAAAGGACGGACGATGCTGTCAACGACGTGTGGATTGAGGCGACGTAATCTGGTTGTGGTGATAATAACGTGACAACATATTTGCAAAACGTAGTAAAAGGGAATGATGTAAATCGGGGTATGACTTTATTGTTGCGCTTTTTTAACCAGTAAAGCTTCACTGACTCTTATGGCACGTTTTGAGGGCGTCCGGCTGAGTTTTCACAATTGGGGACGATGTTGCTGCTGCATGTAACCCCAATTGAGTATTTTCCAGCTAACTTTTCAACATTGGGTTGTTTGGCCAAAACCAGTTACATTGTGTCTTCTTTCTGCTATGGGAATAAACCGGCAAACCCGGAGGAAATCCATGTAGAACAGGGGGAGAACATACTCACACAGTAAGGTGCTCAAGTTGGAAATCCAACCAAGTTGGGAATCTAACTACTGGACATCTGTGAAAAAGAGCTTTATAGCTCATCGGATTCCTCCAGTATAAATAAATATTCTGATTCTGCCTTTTGCTGTGAGGCACCAGTGTTACCACTGCACCATGCTTCCGCCCAACATGACTACCGCTTTTTGTGAAAAGTGATTGTCTCAAAGAAGACTGGCTCCCGTCAATCGGAACGTAGAATGCATTTATGGGGCGATAAGACCACCCCATTGCTCGTATGAGTGAGAAGACGCTGAGTTTCAGAATTCACATCCTGATCTTCTTGTTAGCACCAACCTGGGTCTCCCGTATACAGTGAGGGAAAAAAGTATTTGATCCCCTGCTGATTTTGTACGTTTGCCCACTGACAAAGAAATGATCGGTCTATCATTTTAATGGTAGGTTTATTTGAACAGTGAGAGACAGAATAACAACAAGAAAATCCAGACAAACGCATGTCAAAAATGTTATAAATTGATTTGCATTTTAATGAGGGAAATAAGTATTTGACCCACTCTCAATCAGAAAGATTTCTGGCTCCCTGGTGTCTTTTATACAGGTAACGAGCTGAGATTAGGAGCACACTCTTAAAGGGAGTGCTCCTAATCTCAGCTTGTTACCTGTATAAAAGACACCTGTCCACAGAAGCAATCAATCAATAAGATTCCAAACTCTCCACCATGGCCAAGACCAAAGAGCTCTCCAAGGATGTCAGGGACAAGATTGTAGACCACACACGGCTGGAATGGGCTACAAGACCATTGCCAAGCAGCATGGTGAGAAGGTGACAACAGCTGGTGCGATTATTCGCAAATGAAAGAAACACAAAAGAACTGTCAATCTCCCTCGGCCTGGGGCTCCATGGAAGATCTCACCTCGTGTAGCTACAATGATCATGAGAACGGTGAGGAATCAGCCCAGAACTACACGGGAGGATCTTGTCAATGATCTCAAGGCAGCTGGGACCATAGTCACCAAGAAAACAATTGGTAACACACTACGCCATGAAGGACTGAAATCCTGCAGCGCCCGCAAGGTGCCCCTGCTCAAGAAAGCAAATATACATGCCCATCTGAAGTTTGCCAATAAACATCTGAATGATTCAGAGGACAACTGGGTGAACGTTTTGTGGTCAGATGAGAACAAAATGAAGCTCTTTGGCATCAACTCAACTCACTGTGTTTGGAGGAGGAGGAATGCTGCCTATGACCCCAAGAACACCATCCCCACCGTCAAACATGGAGGTGGAAACATTATGCTTTGGGGGTATTTTTCTGCTAAGGGACGATGGATGGGGCCATGTACCATCAAATCTTGGGTGAGAACCTCCTTCCTTCAGCCAGGGCATTGAAAATGGGTCATGGATGGGTATTCCAGCATGACAATGACCCAAAACACATGGCCAAGGCAACAAAGGAGTGGCTCAAGAAGAAGCACATTAAGGGCCTGGAGTGGCCTAGCCAGTCTCCAGACCCTAATCCCATAGAAAATCTGTGGAGGGAGCTGAAGGTTCGAGTTGCCAAACGTCAGCCTCGAAACCTTAATGACTTGGAGAAGATCTGCAAAGAGGAGTGGGACAAAATCCCTCCTGAGATGTCTGCAAACCTGGTGGCCAACTACAAGAAACGTCTGACCTCTGTTATTGCCAACAAGGGTTTTGCCACCAAGTACTAAGTCATGTTTTGCAGAGGGGTCAAATACTTATTTCCCTCATTAAAATGCAAATCAATTTATAACATTTTTGACAAGCGTTTTTCTGGATTTTTTTGTTGTTATTCTGTCTCTCACTGTTCAAATAAACCTAGCATTAAAATTATAGACTGATCATTTCTTCGTCAGTGGGCAAACGTACAAAATCAGCAGGGGATCAAATACTTTTTTCCCTCACTGTAGAACACAGTCGAGTCTCAATGTCTGATACCTGGTAAAATAGAAGACGTAAATCACTAGAACTCGCCTTGTTAACAAAGGACATGAATGACAATCGCTAACAGATATAACGGTTGTGAAGGAGCTCTCCCCTAGTTCGACAAAGCTCAAGGGGCTAAGAAAAGGGCATTAATCACAAGCGATACTAAATCGCATGGGGCTCTTGCGAACAGTTTTAAATAAAGTTCACCAATTAGATTAATCTCAATGGGTTATCTCTTAGTTAAAGCTTGTTAAAGCCGGGCGGTAGATTACATAAATATATGTATGTTGAACTTATTTTGCACCATACGCAGCCAACCATGCTAATAGGAGGTACGGATGGATGTTGTGAAACTCAGAATTAGAATATGTATTGATCCTGGAGAAGTCCAATGAGTTATGAAGATCTTTTTCACAGTTGAACCTTGTGGAGGTACCCCGGGGTACCATAGTATCCCGGCTCTCGCATAATGCCCGTGATGCAGTCATCTTTAGTCTGTTGATGGTCGGCGATGTGGCAATCGACTCATCTTGACGAGCTGTACACGATGCACCACTACGGTGCGTACGAGCGTTCAGGGTTTCAGCGCAATCGTCCTCACTGCGTGTCGACATCACAGAATAGCACCGATTTCGAATTGATTGTTACCCCAGTCGCGGAGTGAAGTTCACCCCTGGAAAAAAAGTGTCCCAGAAGTAAAATATTTAATTTCCTCGGCCATTTTTTATTTTTTAAGACCCCGGGGTACCGCTATAAGGATCAGTTGTCCAGTCTGGGCGGGTTAGAAAGTTACAACAATTAAAAACACGATCGTAGTGCAAATTATAGGAAAGCAAAGCAAATGACAAAAAATAAATACGCAACAAAGTGTAGGGGTGTCAGGGGAAGGATTCCCACCAATAGGAGGGTTAGTGGGACGGTGACAAGAGAATGGGGAGGGGTAATCGAGAAGATATAAGGGGAGAACTGGCGGGAAGAGGGGGCCTTTGGCGGGAACGAGATTGAGATGGCTGGAGACAGGTGTGGATGGGGAAAGAGGAATCAAGGACGACCCCCTGTAACCCTTGTGTCGGCTCTCCTTTACATCTGGTGGCAGCGGTGGAATTCACAATGGCTACGAGGAAGAATCTCCGCGGAAGGGAGCCAACAGAAGAGGGAGCAGAGGCCGGGGATCCTCCACATCCAGAGCAACAAGGGGGCCCGCTACCAGGAGTAGCAGCAGGGGTCCCGGACCCCATGGAGGACCCCATGGAGGCATGGCCCGCGTGGAGAGGGCACTCCAGGAGCTACTGGGGGGCCCGCCGGCACCGGGACCCCAACTCCCACACGTACCATGGGAGGAGGGGCCACGGGACCTGGAGGCCGACCAGCCAGCCGGGCGGGAGCCGCAAACAGCCCCGTCACGCCAGCCGTCGCCGCCGCTCCCGCCAAAACCGCCAGAGCTAAACACCCAACACG